AGTGGCAACTAGAGCAAGAAAGGAAACAGGAAGAAAGTCAACAACAGTGGCAAAAATTACAAATGGGAAAACATTAGTAAATTTCAAAGCGAATTAGATACATTAAAGGATGATTTATTGTCTTTCACACAAGGAGGATACATTAACCATCGACTTAATCGGACCTAGAGAATGGCAAGCCCCTTCCAGACCTTGCAGTTAAACCCTAATGCAGACATCTTCAGTCCTGTTAGAAGTCACATCCCAGATATGAATGTCAGCAATAGGGGCGATCCAGTACAAAGGAAGCCACAGGAATTCGATGGGAAGCATATAGAGCACAATTGGAGCTCCTGGCAGAGATAAATGGATGGACAGAGGAGCAGAAAGCAGTATATCTGGCAACGAGCTAGAAGGGACAATCACTGGAAATACTTGGACAGTTGTTAGCAGACGACAGACACAACTATAGAGCACTGGTAGCTGCTCTAGACTTCGGGTATGGAACCCAAAATCAGTCTCAAGTCTACAGGGCTAGGTTTAGGACGAGAGTCCGTGCTAATGGGGAGAGTCTGCAAGAGCTGGCACAGGATTTGGAAAGTATGACACACAAGGCCTACCCAACTGCACCACCCGATGTCCTCAAGTTGTTGCTCAAAGATCAGTTTGTAGATGCCTTGGACAGTCCACAACTGAAAATACAAGTAAAGCAAGCACACCCCTCTACTATGCAGGATGCAATGGCCAGAGCTCTTGAATTTGAATCCTACATTAAGTCTAGCACAGAGATACCAAGGTTGGTACTGTAATCAGGATTCAAGGCCAGAAAAGGGCAGCTTTCAGAGAAGTTTGAGGAACTTTGCTGGCACTGTAATAAACCTGGGCACAAAAGAGCTCAATACTGGCAACTTCAACACAGGAAAGATACCACAGCAGGAAAGACTGCTACCCAGAAGGTTACTGGAACTGAGGAGAGCAATGACATATGAAGAGCCAGTGTTAGAAGAATACCACCAATAAGTCAGCTTCAGGAAACCAGTAGTGGTTAGTGCTGAGGGATGCCCACAAACTCCCATCGTGAAAGTCCCAACAGCTAAGTGTAAAATGGCAAGCACACATGGTGTTTATGTGACAGGAAAACTGGATGGTCAAAGGTGCAACTTTATCATAGATTCTGCATCTCAGCAAACCCTTGTGAGTATAAAGGTGCTGGATCACAAAGGAATACCAGAAGCTGTACAGGACATTATGCAATGTTGTGGGGACCAGTGTGGGTAACTATTGAGCTCATGGGCATGAAGAACAGACAGAAAGTATACTTGGCTGACATTGAAGACCAATGGATATTAGGATTAGACTATTTATTACCGAGGAAGCGTGTAGTTAACTTCGATAAAATGACGTTTGGAAACAACAAATGCCAGATTCCAGTAAGTGTTGCTGCATTCATTGATCTGCATGTCACAGCACTGAAGTCAACTACATAAGTCAAATATGTCGGAGAAGATAATTTGGGGTAGGATAAAAGAACATCCCCAAGAAAGCCCAATGCTT